AATGAGATTCATCCCAGGCATGCAGGGATGGTTCAACATACGTAAATCAATAAATGTAATCCACCACATCAATAAAGCCAAAAGTAAAAATCACATAATCATTTTTAGAGTGAAGAAAAAGCTTTCAATAACGTCCAACATTCATTCATGATAAGAACTTTACACAAAATTGGAATAGATGGTCTGTATCTCAATATAATAAAGGCCGTCTATAACAAACCAACAGCCAGTATCATACTAAATGGACAAAAACTGAAGGCTTTTACTTTAAAAGCAGGCACAAGAAAAGTATATTCTTTATCACCACTCCTATTTAATATAGTACTGGAAAAACTAGCCAGAGCAATAAGACAAGAGAGAGAAATAACAGGGGCAAAGATAAGAAAAAAAAAAAAGAAGTTAAATTATCATTGTTTGCAGATGACATGATACTCTACATAGAAGACCCCCTAAACCCCATTGAAAGTCTCTTAGATATACAAAATAAATTCAGTAATTTAGCTGGATACAAAATCGATACTCAAAAATCAAAAGCATTCCTATATACTAACAACAAAATCACACAGAGAGAAATAAGAGAAGCCACACCCTTCACACTAGCAACCAAAAAAATGAAATATTTAGGAATTACTCTTAGGAAAGAAGTGAAAGACCTATACAGGGAAAATTATAATACACAGAAAAAAGAAATTGAAGATGATCTCAGAAAATGGAAAGACATAACTTGCTCATGGATAGGAAGAATAAATATTTTGTAAATGGACATTCTCCCAAAACTCTTATACAGATTCAATGCAATCCTAATAAGAATACCATCAACACACCTCATAGAGCTAGAGAAATCACTCCTAAATTTCATCTGGAACCACAAGAGACCTAGAATAGCAAAGACAGTTCTAAGCAACAAAGCAAGGCAGGAGGCATCACGATCCCTGACTTGAAGTTATACTACAAAGCAACCATAGTAAAATTAACATGGTACTTGAATCAAAACAGAGCTGAAATCAATGGAATAGACTAAAAGATACAACCACAACTATAAACACACTCAACCACCTTATCTTTGATAAAGGAGCCAAACAGGTTCACTGGAAAAATGACAGTATCTTTAATAAATGGTGTTGAAAAAAATTGGCTCTCCATTTGCCAAAAACTAAACCTAGACCCATGCCTATCACCATGTAGTAAATTAAAATCTAAATGGATCAAAGATCTGAATATTAAAACAGAAACACTAAATCTATTGGAAGGACAAATTGGGTAGAAACCTTAAAGACATAGGAGTAGGTAGAGAATTTATGAAAAGAACTCAAACCACACGGGAAATACTTTCTAGAATCAATAACTGGGACCACCTCTTATTAAAAAGTTTATGCATGTAAAAAGAAATATCCATCAGAGTGAAAAGAAAACCCACACACTGGGGAAAAATCTTAGTGAACTGTCCCTCAGACAAAGGTCTTCTGTCTAAAACATATAAAGAATTTAAAAGAATAGATCCCCCCAAATTCAAAGATCCAATCCAAAAATTGGCATCTGAGATGAACACACACTTCTCAGATGAAGAAATACAAATGGCAAATAAATACATGAAAAAATGTTCATTATCATTATTCATTAGAGAAATGCAAGTTAAAACCACACTGAGATTCCATCTCACTCCTGAAAGAATGGCCAGGATCAAGAAAACCAACGACAACAAATGCTGGAGAGGCTGTGGTGAAAAAGGACCTCTACTGCACTGTTGGTGGGAATGTAGACTGGTGCAACCATTGTGGAGGTCAGTCTGGAGATTTCTCAAAAATCTGGGATTGGAAGTCCCATGTGTTCCAGCTATTCCACTTCTAGGCATATTCCCAGAAGAACTGAAAGCATCCACAGTGATATATGTGCACCCATGTTTATAGCAGCACAATTTGTAATCACCAGATCTTGGAAACAATCCAAATTGATTGGAAACAATCCAATCAACTGAGGAATGGATAAAATTTTGTGGTATTTTTATACAATGGAGTACTACTCGGCTATAAAGAATGACCACATTGAGATATTTATCAATAAATGGATGCAGCTGGAGACCATACTCATAAGTGAAATAAATCAAACTCACATGTATGAATACCACATAATTTCCCTATTATAAGCAATGATTCAAATATATAAAAGTATGTGGTAATCATGGTTCCCCATTATGTGGCTTTGAAGCCTTATAATGTTTTCACTCATTTATTGGAAAGGGTCTCTTCTGGGCTGTTTGGGATTATTGCCTGTGATGAAATGAACAACTATTTTGAAGAAAATGAGACATCATAATAGCTAGTGCTGATTTAATATCATCTTGTTTTGAAGTCCCACCAAACTGTTGCTCTTCTGTCTCCATTGGTTTTATCATGTTGTATCTTACTGTATTTTATTACATGTGATAGTATAAACAAAAATTTTTATATATAAATGGGTAATATAGAAACCATTGTTCATTTTCCATTAGCTGGTTCTAAATACTTTCATCCACTTGAATGGTTTCACACTGTCTTGATATGTTTGATGCTATAGTATATGAAGTTATGTTCAAATATTTCAAGGAAAGAGACAATATGGTAACTACTATTGAGTCGGGTTGTCTTGTGGTGAAGCACTGTGTTGCTGAAATTGTGGTTCTGTGACTTGTACTGTTATGTTGTTATGTCCTCTTATCTCACTCTCCCCCTTATTCATTAAAAAATTTATTTATTTATATTATTTTTTAATTAAGGGAAAAATTAAAAAAATTAGCAAGATATATTATAGTAACTTTTTGATTTCCTATTAACTTGATTTGAAGCCCTGTATTACTCCCACTATCTTTTTTTGACTCTGTTCCATTCTGTTTGATAGTATCAAGTTTGACAGTATAGGTAACTACTTTGAAGGCAATAAGATTCACTATGATGCCCATTCTGGTTTGACTACTATCTTCTTTTGAAGTCCTATAATGTTTCCAATGTTTAGGTTTTATTGGTTTTGTTCTGTACTGTTTTGTTCAACTTTATTATACCTAATGACATAGGTAATTCTTTTTAAGGAAGCAAGAGGCATTATGGTGACCATTGTTGATAACCTTGTATTCTGTTTTTACATCATGTTCTATGTGTAAGCTTTGTTTTGACTGACTGTTTTGTTTTGTCATATTTGGTTTTATTCTCTTCCAGAAAAAATAATAAGAACTATGGGAGTAATAAAACCCAAAATGTGTAAATTTTGTTGTATAAAAAAGAAAGGGAAAAAAGTGCTCTAAAGGATACAACTGCAAGTGTGTTTAGGTGTGTTAAGATAGATGACCATATTATTGAGTTTTTGTTGGATCATTGAACACAACTGTATGTAGTCTCACTGTTTCAATGTCCACTTTGTATGCTTTAATCCTGTAATTTGAACAACTATTTCTAAGATGACAATATGTAATTTATTAACTAGTGATTTCTTACCATTTTTTATTTCTAATTCTATATTACTTGTACCCTTATACTCTTTTGGTTTTTTTCCTTTAAATTAAGTAAAAAAGACATTATGATGAGCCATATTTCAGGAACATGATTCTAAATGATTAAATTCTTTTCTGTGTATAATGCTGATTTTCAGTTCTAACTAGGGCCTCAATTTTTTTTGTAAACTAATGAAACACACTACATAGTCTCACTTTTGACATATTAATGGAAAGCATTGTCATCGATGTAGGACACTCTTCAGAGAGGAGCTTTTGGAGTGGAAAAATGAGAATTGCGGGTCAGCAAAGCTCACAGACATTTATCAGAACTCTCCTCTCCCTTTCTCTGTGTAAGTTTCCTAAATTGAGAACATAATATAGCAGGATGCATTTTCACATTCAAAGCCATGATATAAAATGAATCTATTATATTGACTCTGCAGATGGTAGTGTTAGAAATTTTAATTTGCTTTATTCTATAGCTGTAGGTTTTGATGAGGTAATATAAGTACAATTCCTGTCATATCATAAGGCACATGATTCACATAGATGACAAATGATGCCTAGTGGTGGCAGCTAACACTATGGGATAGCTATGCCTTGCTAAACCATGCCCATGGCTGAAAGGACACTTTGAGATGCTAATTTTGTGAGACTGATAGAAAGTAATGTCAAAGAAATTTCTCAGAGGACAAAATTCTCTAAATTCATTTATTGGTTGGTATTTTATAAACTAAGATTTAACTTGTACCTTTAGAAGAACAAAACAATATTTAAAAGTATTGTTAGCTTTCTTCTTTTAGTGAAGCTTCTCTTTGTAAGGATTAGAATGACTTCTTTGGTGGCATGTCAGCTTCATAAAAGGTGTAGAGAAAATTTCCAGTGACACAGGCTGAATGTGCTAAGGAATTGATGTACCCTTTAGAATAGAAAAAATAAGGTACTCCATGGACCTTAGCCTTCAAATGGAACTTTTCTAAATCAGAATCTGTATTGTTTCCTGGAACATCAGAGTAGGCTTGCCTCCCAGGTATGTCTATTAACACAGCATGCTTTCTCTCTAGGTGTTACAGGCCTACCAATGCTTCAAAGTTATCTTCACAATGAACAAACCATCAAGGAATAAATTTTGTCTTGGGTTTATCTAACCAACTAGGTAGTGCTGCTAGGCTCTCTCTACATAACCATTTATTATGATGAAATATGTTTAGCAAAGCAAGTTTCCATTTTTCTTGCAGTCTTTGAGAAACACAAGGAATGTCATTCTGTCTTTTCTTATCATCAAATTAGCACAAATTAAATTATTAAATTCCATTTCTATTTTCTGTTACTCTTTGAGAAAGGAGCCTGTCACAGAGGAGTCTCATTGTCCATGATAATAGATAAAAAGCAATGAGTAAATGCTACAAAAAAGGAGTAGACATATGTTCAGTGAGGTAGACATAATATTGAGTTGGTTATGATAAATGAGCAGTGCTTCAGTTGAGACCAACAACAAGGTAGGTGTAAAATTTTAGAGATCTAAAAATACATCTGATCAGCAAAATCTGTCATAATGAATCTGTTTGCCCAATCTGTGTATTGCTATCAATATGTCTTTGTTCCTTAATGTGTAGATGACAGGATTCAAGGCAGGCGTGATTGCAAAGTCAACAATAAACAGATATTTGTCAATTGACGATGTGGGGAAAGGCCACACATACAGAAACATACATGGAGTGAAAAAGAGGAAAACCACAGTGATGTGAGCTGACAAAGTGACAAGAGCCTTGGATAAGTCCCCTGAAGATCGTTTCCAGACTGTGATCAAAATGAAGACATAGGAAAGCAGAAGCAGAAAGAAGGTGCCTACTATTATAAAGCCACTGTTGGCAGCAACAATAAACTCAAACTTGGTTCCGTCTGTGCATGCAAGTTGTATTATCCTGGGAAAGTCACAGTAAAAGCTATCTATTTGATTAGGACCACAAAAAGGCAAGTTTATAACAAAAGAAAACTGAGACATAGCATGGATCACTCCTACTACCCAGCCAAGGGCTACAAATGAAACACATCTTTTAGGGCTCATAATGCTCAAGTAATGAAGAGGCTTACAGATGGCTATGTACCTGTCAAATGCCATGGCTATCAGCAGCACTAACTCCATTCCTCCCATGATGTGGATGAAGCATATTTGTGTCATACAGCCTTGGAAAGAAATTACATTGTCTTCACTTAAAAGGTCTGTGATCATCCTGGGAATCGTGACTGAAGAAAATCCCACATCATTCAGGGAGAGATTAGCCAGAAGGAAGTACATGGGTGAATGTAAGTTTGAATCAGTGAACACCAAGAATACAATGAAGAGGTTTCCCAGGATGATCCCTAAGTAAATCAAGGAGAATATCAACATGAGAAAAATTTTAGTTTCCCAAGAAGTAGAGAGTCCTAACAGCACAAATTCAGAAACCATGGAGCTATTTAGTCCATCCATTCACTTGAGCAAAGAGTTAGTTTCAAATCTGTGGAAAGAAAAGGATAAAAAGTCAGAATTACTCATGCTGAAGTGTAATCCCATTTGTGTTATTCTTTTTCTGTGAGTTGCAAACCCTAAGTTTGGAAGTCATTGAATTTTCTAACATAAAAGTAAATAGGTAAAGGAAGCAGATGCATGATGAAGAAATGATTATACAGCAATGTCAAAAATGATATAACAGATGCAGTGTAATGGGTTATCTTCCTTCTTATTCCATGACTAGATGTTTTTTGTTGTTCTTCACAAGGATTTCTAAATATTTTCTCTGATCTTTCCCTATTGTTGTCCCAGCCTAATAAGCTCAGATGTAGTATGCCTTAATGTCACTGGACTAACTTGCAAATTTTCTTGTGTTTATTCTTCAACTTCTTTGGTATGCAATAGACAATTTTAGGCCATGAATTTCTTTTTTAGGAATCTGTGACCATCTGTGACCTTATTTTACCTTGCCTACATGTTTAGTCTCTGAGCATACAATTTGCCATGAAGATTAAGTACTGTCTGAGATTACTCAAAATTTGTTCATGATACATTATTCGCACAGTTAATACCTGACATCAGTATTCAATAACTTATGAATATAAATATGAACATCCACATTAAGTAAGCATTTGTATTTGAAAAATGATAGTATTGATAGATAACATTTATTATGTGCTTCCTACAGGCAGAGCTTTGTACTAAGCTCACAGTCTCTTTAAACTGCATAACACTCCATGTAGATACTGTTCAGTTAGATCCATTATAAATAATAAGCTAGATCTCAGTGGGATGAGCTGTCTGTGCCAGGACTTGTAACATACAGGACAACACAGCATGTTCCTCAAGCATTGTGGTAATGAGAGGTCTTTCCACTACACTTTGAACTAATCCAAATATCTTCCAAACAAATTTACTTCAACTTTTGCATCCTTTTATAAATCAACATAATAAACTTTGTTAACAGGAAATCTCTGAATTTTGGACCACCTGTAACCATCCTTTTCTCTATTTGCTTTATTTGCAATTGAACAATTTTTTCATTCAATAATCAAAAAACCAAGCTTGATCAGTTGTCTTATTTACATAAAATCTCGATTCCTGAAATTTTATACAATGTCAATTTTTAAGTCAACATTTTCCTGTATTTCTCAACATGACTGAACTCCATCTATGATGATGTGGTTCTGTAATTCTGCATATACTTTTTCTTCTTGGCTTTATAAGCCTTTCCATCTCTTGCCAACAAAAATTTGTTTATACTTTAAAATCTCTTAGGAAGACTTGTAGAAGGAGCAGCCTTTTCTCAGATCAGGAACACCACATATGGGGTTTCTGAATCAACAGTGGCAACATTTTACATGTCCAATGATTCACTGAATTTTAACAAAATAGATCTCAATCAGCATTTTTATCCTTGAAGCTAAGAAATCTTTTTTTTTGTTGACTCCATATTCAAAAATTAGATTACACTGTATAATTTCCTGAACAGAAAACTTATCATTGCTGTAGGGCTAGGGAGATTCTCAGTCTCAGCAGATGGAATTAGAAGTGTTCATTTACTTCAGAGGGAAAGGAGAAACAGATGTAAAATCTCTTTTAACTGTGACAGCAATTCTAGGTCATCAAGTTATACTGAACACAAATAAAGAAGGTAAATAATGCCTTTTCACTCTTAGTTTTTTCTGATTTTGAGAAAACTAACACAAAGGATAAGATTTCTATAATAAGACACTTTGTTGTATAAAAAAAGTGGCAGAAATGTAAATGGTCAGTAGTTGAAAAAAATTCATATTTACATTACAATTATTCCAAGAGCACTATTTACCTTTATTTTAGCATGTGCTTCATTATTATTTTAGTGTAAATGACTAAATTTCTGTTCACGTACTATTTTCATCCAATGGAGTAAGCAAAATCCAGTGTAATCAGAAAGGATCAGGACAAGTTCAATGGTCTGTCACAACTGCTATTCTTGAAGCTGAGAGTCTAAGAAGTTGTAATATTGCTGGGTATTGGTTTTTGTTAACATCTGAAACTTTAATGTAAGGAGTTCAGAAGTCTCGCAGGTCTTTTTGGAAGAGAAAAGCCTATAACTTAACAAATACATCCATAAAGAGTACATTCAGAAGTTTGATCAATGATTGTGACATAGTTACTCACAGGAACCAGCTTTGAAATCAGGTCCTTCTTGGTTCATGCCATTTGCTTTTGATTTTATCTTAAGTCTGATACTTTATTGAAAATGTATCCTCCTCAGGGTGCAATACTCTATAAAGTAGCCTTAGACAGGATAAACCATTCAACTCTGTTTTACATAGAGGCAAATTTTGGAAAGACTTTTCTGAACATTCTCCTAGGGGACTCATTAGCCACCAACTTTCTGTAAATTTAGTACTCAAGTGATAATAAACCTTTGTGAAATGTAGATTCATCAGAGCATCATACCACAGTAATACACATGCGCCCATGTTTATAGCTGCACAATTGTAATAGACAGATCTTAGAAACAACCTAAATGCCCATCAACTGAGAAATGGATAAAAAAGATGTGGTATTTTTATACACTGGAGTACTACTCAAACTATAAAGAAGGATGAACTAAAGGTGTTTACTGGTAAATGAATTCAACTAGAAATAAGACTCACATGTGTAAACACTGTATTGTCTCTAATATACGAACCTGAAAGATAAAATAAGATCCAGAAGTTACAATAGATATAGTGAAAGGAAAAGAAGTTGTTCAATGGGAAAGCATATTTTTTGATCAATTTTGTATGCCTGTGTCTGGTAACCAGAGAAACAATTTTGAGGATTTTAATAATATGCAATATAACAATCATTGTTAAATTCCTATCATCATGTTTTAAAATCCTATATTGCTATTGTTTTTTATGTTGTTGTCTTTTTACATTTTATGTTGTTATTATTTTGTTTATTTGTTTTATGATTTTTCTGATTTTCTCTCTTTAAAACAAAAATGGATAGATTCAATTTGTTCTAGAAAGACAGAATACAAATATTATCACACATTACTAAATGGTGCTAGAATGTTTCTGAGATTTTTTTGGTTTGGTGTATATAACAATTTTTATTTCTTCTGCATGTGCTGTGTCATACTACTGAACTGAGTTGTGAGTTCCAGTTCCAAGAAAAGTTAAATAAATTATTTGGGTAGGTATTGATGAACAGTTCAACCCTGGTGGACTGTCTCTGTGCTCAGAATTCAGGTTTTTTCTTGAACATCTGCCTTTTATCAGTCAGAGTAATATTTGGATCTCACAATTCTATGTACTTTTATCATTAGAGCTTTGAAAAGTAACACCTGTAATATGAAGCCATATTATGGGCATATCACTAAATGATGGGAGTAAGAGGAGAATACTTTCATATATATATATATATATATATATATATATATATATATATATATAATTTAACAAATAGTTGAAATAATCAACTTATAACAAGAAAATATTTATTTTGGCTCATGATTTCAGACATTTCAGTCTATGGTTATTGAGCTCTATCACTTGGATGCAACATGGTGGAAGCACGCGGAACAGCAAAATTGCTCACCTAGTGAGTAGGACGTAAAAGGGAGGGAAAGAAGAGTTCTGTATCCCTTCAAATACAAATTCCAAGCACTGGAAGGCCACCCACTGAATGCAACCTCTTAAGTGTTCTACTATCTCACAATAGCTCCAAACTGAAGACAGGTTGTTTCCTAGTGCAACTTTGATGAGATGCTTAATTTCCAAACTAGCAATAGTACAGATGTTCAAGAGGAATGCAGCAATTCTCATGGTTTCATATTGTCTGCAATTTCAGACAACCAGTGAAGGTCTTGGCTTACATCCTTTTTAGATCAGGAGGAACACTATAAAAATACATCACTGTAGAGTTAAGAAACATCTTTAGCTTTTGTTTGCTGATTTTATTTTTAATGAATTAATGTAACATGTATGATTGAGTCTCCATTTGTGTCTTTTATCCAATGCCATTATTTTCCCAGTCTTCTCTTTCTTCGTTACTTATCTCTCTCATAGTGTCTCTTTAGTCTTCACTCTACCTGTTTGCTTTCCAGGTCCTCATTCATCTATGTGAGTTTATTTGTTCTATTATCCAGTATTTTGACCTGAACCCTGGATACCATAATTAGCTGAGTCAGACAACCTAAATATTCAAGGCTTATTCACCTGCTGAAGTGTTTGAAACACTCATTTCACTTATTCAGCAGTCCTTAGGTTCCTATATGGATGAGAAAACAGGACAAAAGCAGCTAAGTGACTTGTCCATGCCACACAGTAAGGGAAGCACGTATGAGAGATACCACTGAGGGCAGGATGTTTGTTGACAAGAGACTGGGAGGGAACATATCATTGCTCTAAATTTTGAAAAAGCAATGAAAACTGTTGATTTTCCTTTATAAATGTTTATAATTTACTATTTAAATTTTAAAAATTTACCTAAGGGCTGGGGATTTATCTAGGTGGCATAAGCACCTGCCTGGAAAGTACAAGGTCATGAGTTTGATCCCTGGTACCAAAAAGCTAAAAAAAAAAGACACATGACCTCCAGTGGTGCATAGGGCTGGGCCACTGCCAGCCCCTTCCATGCCCCCACCATCCTGCCGCTGCCCTCAGAGACCCCTTACCTCTTGAACCCCGTATGGCTGTTGATCTTTGGCTCCCACTCCTCCCCCCAGAACCTTGGACTGCAGTGGATTAACCATGCTTGAGGGGAATCTCAATAACCCTTCATCCAAACAGAAGACTGCAGCAGGCTTCCATCAGTGTGGTGAGTTTGCCCTTAAAATAGGAATAGAATTTGATGCCTTCAGTGGGTAAACAGGAACAATAGCAAAGGCCCCTCCAGAAGTAGCATCTTGGAAAACTTGACAAGAGTGTGAATCCTTCCTCCACACAGAGAACATCAGGTCAGTTGAAGAGAGTGCTAACAGGGTCTCCCCCAACCTG